TAGTGATTCTAGATGAGCTGAACATTGGTACAGTGGTTCACTTACACCAGTGTCTATCTGTCGTATCGCTGACCAGATGCATCAAGGACCAAGCTGAAAGGCTTTTTATGATTTATTTATTTTTTTGTTAAAGAAGAGTTTCTTTCAGTGATACAAAGGATCAAATAAAACAAAAACAATAATGGTCTCTGCTGGTTGCTATTTTAATTACTCTGATGTCTTTGAAGACTGCTTTCCCGAATATTCACATAAGCATCACCTAGAAACACAGAAATCTCATTGTGATCAATGCGATTGATTATTCTAAATGATAAATGTGGAGATTTGGTTGTAATGATATTCAGCGTGTTATAAACTAAATAAATCTAGGTACAAAATCAGCCAGGAGCGAAGTGCCACCTGGATTAGTGTGGTGCAGTAGACTCAAAGTAGCCGTCACCACTTCTTTAAAGTGCGTTTTAGAGAAGCGTGAACTACATGAGGTTTAATTGTATCGAGCACCTTCTCCGATCACATGGCACACTCTCTTGATGAGGCTGCATATTGGGACGGCTCTTACTGTGTATAACTTGCGTACAGTGCTTTCAGCGTATACTTGTTTACACCGCGAACCTCACAGCTCTGTTTCCCCTCTCTGCTAACACAGGACGCTGCGGAGCAGAAAGCAACAGTCCAGTTCCAACTCCCTGTCTTTATCCCTGAGCCAGGCCGCAACACCAAGGAAAACCCTCACCTTCTCAGCTGGTAATACCCCCATTAACAGCAGCAGCAGCTTGCAGCAAAGCAGCACAGCGTCTGATGCCGCTCAGATCACAGCCATCGTTGAGCAGCCCCATCTGAGGCAACGCACTGTCACTACCACCACAACAACAACTTATGTGGATGGACACTGGGGTAAGTTGGAATAAATAACTACATAACAATAAAGACGGAATCGTGAAAGAGAATACTTCTGAAAAATCTCCTTTAATTAAGCATTTTAATTTGATTCCACAGGGCAGAATATACAACTGAACTTCCTCTCTGAAAAAAATAAAATAACAGATGTTATTTTTTAGTTCCTAAAGACTCTATCAAAAAGAATTTAAGGCTTATCTTGGGTAACTGCTCTTTGTTGACCCTATATTAGATAATCTTGCATACCCAGAATAATTGCTCAAGAGTAGAGATACGACAGGATGAAGTGAAACTGCTGAGTTGGTTGAGAAAATGAGGCGGAGTAATGGTAAAACAAAATGTTCAGTCAAGTAAAAGATATGTTATTACAACACAAATGAGACTATATAAAACAAATATTTATGTTTGGGTAATTGCAGGGTTTTTTGTTTGTTTTTTATTATTTTTTTTACTTAATTCAGACATTTGAGTATCAGTTTTATTTTTGAATGTGAACATGTTTACCTGCTCCACATGGGCACCTGAGATCCCCTGAAACTCCCTCAAAAGCAGCTGCACACAGATCTATGGATGGTATCGTTTCAAATTTCATTTTTCTACAAAAACGTCTCTCACAGAGTGAGGCACATTTCTAACTCCCTTTCTATCGTTCAGCGAGCTAAAGCATCCAGATGGAGGCCGCTTACTGTGCGAGAGAATAACAGGAGACATTCTGTTGCTTCTAACTTTCTCTCTGACTGATCATTTCCACTCAGACATCTGACGTAAAATCACTTTCAGACATTATCATTAATGCTTGCTGAAGCTTCAGATATTCACTGTTGACTATCACTGAGTCTGAGGAGCCCAAAAGCCTGTAATCTGGAGAGCCCTGTTTTTATTTTAAGAGGACTTTTCCAGAACTCCATACCAAAAAATGTATCTTAACAGCAGTGTACTCCAGCACACGTACTGCAGATTTATGCAATCTTGCAAGAGAGAGTAAAAGATCTTAATCCTTATTCTGCTACTGTAGGTATTTAATGTTGATGTGTGCAGTCAACTACCTTAACACCAGGAAAAGAATATGTAGCTAGTGGTTTAATGGTTTCCTTTGTGTGAATGATTCATAAACATGTGAACACGCTCTCCTCCTGCAGGGCAGACTCCCAGCCACAGTTTATCAAGTGTCAACGGCGATGCCAGTACGTCAAAGTCCCACGCCGCGCTCTCCAATGGCTACATTTGCAGAGACTGCTCTGTACACTCTCAGAAGACGGACTCCTTTGTCACACAATCCGCATCGTCATTATTATCGTCATCGTCGTCGTCAACATTTCAAGCTGCCGAACCTTCCACGGATGCCCTCTCGTCAACATCATCACCTTTCACCAGTATTTACAGCAGAGACAGGAGTCGAAGGAACAAGACGGGTGAGAAATGTTGTACTTAAATGCAGCCATTGTTTTTATTGCTTGGATAACTGAGCTGCGAGGTTAAATGCATGTTTTCACTAAGTTGTGAAATGATGAGAATGTAATCAGTAGTGGTGTTTCTCTGCAGGTGTCCTGGCTTCTATGTCTAACACGTGTATACGCTACAGCAAACAAGCCTTGGCCCCCATAGTGTCCTTAGTCACTGTGCTCTTCAACAGTGTGGTCTGGCTGGGTTCAAGGGCCAAGAGCCAAACAGGAAAAGGTACACAAAAAGAGACATTCTTTTGTTCTTCATTCTTTTCCCGTCATTTCCGCATTTTCCTCTCTCATCGTTTGTCCCAACTTCCTGAGCTGCTCAGAATGAGACTCTTGGTGATCTTGAGAGAGAACTGACTCCAGCAGCTTTTAGAGATGTGTGCAGCTAATTTGAAACCTCCTCTCCCTCGTGATTTCTACCTCAGCAGCCCTGTCATCATCACTCTGTGTCACTCTCTTTGTGTTTCATGTGTAACCTTATTACCTTTTCCTCTTGCTGGTCTCTTTCTATAGCTTCCTGTTTTGTTTTTATCCGAGTGCATCTTTGGGGAAACTCCTCTATCATTAATGTCACTTCTTCCTCGTCTTATCACCAATATTTATCTGTAGCTTTTTGTTGAGTGTGTGCATTTTTGACTAACACTAAGAATGCGGACCGGTGTGTCACCAGGTGCCTTGACATCGTTTTCGGACTCGGTGAGACAAGCGGCGTCCTCAAGTTTATCCCAACTGTGGCTATTAAAGCAGACCACTCTCCACAGGATGATGGGCCACGGGGCTAATGGATATGAAGGACAAGGTACCCACTGTTACTACTAAGGGCAAAGGTTAAAGGTCGCAGCTCCTGACATCTTCACCTGCTCTTGTGTTAATAAACTTTCCTGTTATAATTTCTTTTTT